CGATGGCCCAGGAAGTCAGTCCCAGGGCATTGGAGGCGATGCCGGGGGTCAGGATTCTCTCTCTCCCTCTCCCTCTCCCAACATGGGCTCCTCTGCTGGTCAGTGGAAAAGTACACACACTTATCACTGGCTGGCTGGGATTAGGGAAGATCTGCTAGCCAATGAGATGAGCACAAGGAAAAGCAGAACTAAGAGATGATGCAAGAGAGGCGGGCCCAAGACTGCCCTAACCTGGACCCTGACTTTTGGCCTTTTCATTACATAAGCCACTAAAAGCCCATTCTAAATTACTTCATTGTTATTTGTGCATTCATCACTTACTTGCAGCCTAAAGAACTGGGCGGTGAAAGGCAGGACACATCACCTCACCCTCAGATGGCACTGTAGGGACCGGAACTTCCCAGTCATCTTTCTCAGAGTTCCTCACCCAGAGGGGCTTTCCTTGCCGGTGCAGGCTCATCGCTAGCTCAGCAGTGGCTTTGTGATCATCTCTAGGGACTCTTACTGGGGGTGGAGGTCAGGTAAGAAGGCCAGGATGATAGAGAGGAAACAACGCCAACCCTGAGAGAATGCTGTGGACATTAAGGCTACACACCATGGACGTAAACATGGTCAGCTCTGTAGCAGGGGTCTCCAGGGAACCGACGGACATACATCTTATCGGTAACATACCCGACACAAGGTGATCAAGATACCGTGAGCGTGTCAAATGTATTGCAATAAGCCCATTGGCATTAGTCACTTTCAAAATCCCCAGCCATGCACACTCCAAACACACTTAGCCCGTCGCTGTTGCTGTTTCCTGAGGCACTTCTGGAAGTTCTCTGTAGCACTTTACAAGATAAAAAACTACAGTGAACGCTGTCTCCAAGGGCCACCCAAGAGAAAGGCAAGCTCATACATCACAGTGTGCCCTTGTCCACGGCATTCAATGCTTGTGGCACTACGTGACTTTTAGCTCTTGCCCAAGGTCAAAAGCACCACGATGGGGAGACATTTTTAATCAATTCAGGACAATAAGGCAGCCCCAACACCTCAACTGCAGATACTCAGGATAGAGGACTTGTAGAACATTTCATAAACACCCATTTTAATAATGAAATGCTGCCTTTAGGAAATAGAATCACCAAAGCACTATCTGAGCGGCTGACATATTTGTGCTGGCTCAGAGAGGTCAGAGAAAAAGGAAGCACAAACTTAGGCAAAGCAAGATTGACCGTGTCCCTCGTGTCTGTGCGTTCCGTTCTACTTTCCTGTACATATAATTGTACAAAAGGGCAAAGGAGGCCTAATCCACATCAAGCCTTTCCAGAGTTAACAAGGTTCCAGTGCTATAATGAAAGTAAACTCACACGCTGGGTGCACTTTGTGTTAAAACTCAGAGAAAAAATATTCATGCAGCCACTTAGGCAATGAAATTGTTAAAGTCCCCTGTAAGTATTATGCGTGCATCTATCTTTGCCCTGGGTTAAAAAAAGATGGAAAAGGGGAGAGAGCTAGGATAATGCATTTCTATTAGATGACACCTTAAAATCAGAGCCTTTTACAAGAGGCATTATGGTAACCATTGTTGATCACCTTATATTTTGTTTTTACATTATGTACTATGTCCATCCTTTTGATTTGACTGACTGTGTCCTGGTATGTCACATTTGGTTTTACTTTCTTCAAAAAAAAAGTAATAAGAACTGTGGGAGTAATAAAACCCAAAATATGTAATTGTCATTGTACAAAAGAAAGGAAAAGAAAGTGTTCTAAAAGATATAACTGCATATATATTCAAGTATATAAGATAGATAACCATATTACTGAGCGTTTTGTTGGATCATTGAACAAAACTGTTTGCAGTCTCACTGTTTGAAAGTCCCCTCTATATGCTTTAATTTTGTAACTTCAACAACTATTTCTAAGATAACAATATGTAATTAACTAGTGATTTCCTACTGTTTATTTTTTCTGAAATTCTGTATAACTTGTACCCTTTTTCTGTTTTTTTTTTTCTTTTTTCTCCTTAAATAAAATTTAAAAGAAAAAAAAATCAGAGCCTTTTGTTAAGTCTATGTATGCAATTTATCTGGTGCCACTATACTAATGGAAAATTTAAGTTCTTGTTGGAAACATCTTGTCTTTGAATGTTCAAAGTTCACACACGTAAAAGTCAACGGCAATAGTAACACCCTTTACATATTTACAGTGACTTCATAGAAATGGTTGCGTTTGGGAATGGTGGCCAGTGCCCACCGCCTGGGAGGGACAGTATGCAGGGAAAGGGGGGTTCACACTGGGTGGCCCTCAGTCTACAATGCATTTTAGCTTCCAGGGCTGGGTACTGAGGAAAAGTCCACATGCCCAAATTTTTAGAAGCAAAAAATGATCTCTGTAGAAATACTCTTTCAAAAAATAAGATTAAAAAAAAAAATACACTTAAACTAGCCTTTAAAAGAACTGTCATCCAGAAGTGACCTTTGTTAAAGTCCCCTCAGACCTAGTTGTGGTCCTGAACTTGGTCACTGACACGGTGAAGAGGGCCTTTCGCTCACGTCTGGAGGACAGTTTGGGCGTAAACATGCCCTTTTGGTAAAGTGTGTGAGCTTCTCTGTCTGAGGTTCACAGGGGTTGCACAGCATCTGACCTTTGCAGACGACCTGTGGTAATAACAACGTGGGATCAAACCTAGAGGTGGTGCGTGGACACACACGGAAAACGTCTTTTTGTGACAGCGATAGGAAAGCGGCATCCCCACCCGGGAACTGCTGCATGGCCTCTGGGCTGGGCGGGTGCAGCAGGACGCCGCCAGACTGTGGGGAAGAACGCACAGAGGCCCGTGCGGGTCCGATTCTCATGGAACCTTAGTAACACGTGCGCCTTCTTGCCACCGGCTTCACGACACAGACCTCCCCACTCTTAGAACCGCGCTCAGTGCACTCTGTTGCGTTCTGTCTCGTTAAACTGAGCATTAAGAGAACGTAGTTTTTCAGATGCAACCCTGCTACGACTTCTGTCTGGAGGTCAGTTGCCACTTATCTTCAGGGAAATTTTTGTCCTCCACAAAGACGGGATTACAATGGTCTCTCTAAACAGATCGAGCTGGTGCAGTGTGGTCTTAATCAAAACACCCTTGTAGCTCTGGGGTTTTAACTTGGTGAATGTCTGTGCCATGCAGTCAAGCCAGACATGCTGCACGGTCATGAAAAGTGGCATGCTCTCTGTGCACCTATGGGGCCTGGGGACACTGCCAGCTGAGCTGCTGATGACTGCAAGTGATTGTGTTGTTTGCTTCTTGTGTTTTTGTTTCTTGTATTTACTGTAATGCACATATTAACTTTTTTAAAAAATAAAAATTATTTTTAAAACTCAAAAAAATTAGCTAATTAATCAGTCATCACTGATGCAGAATGTGCGCATGTGTGTGTGTGTGTGTGTGTGTGTGTGTGTGTGTGTGGTACTAGAGTTGAGCCCAGGGCTTTCTCACTGAGCTACACATCCACCCTTTATATTTTTTGACACAAGGTCTTGCTAAGTCAATAAATTGCCCAGGCTGTGCTCACACTTGAGATCCTCCTGCCTCAGCCTCCCGGAGTGCTGGAATTACACGCCTGTGTGAAGCTTTTTTTCCTGAATGGAACCTTGAGCAACAGCTCAAACCCTTGCAGATAAGAGTCTTTGCATCAGAATGAAGAGCATCCTGCCAGCTCACCACACTGATGAGTGGAGGGGGCAGCTCCCATCAGGGCGTGTTCTCACCTCTCAGCTGAAGGAGACACCCACAGCTGCCTGGGCTCCGTGAGTCTGCAGCTTTGGCAGGAAATAGAACCACTCCCTCTGGCAGCCTGTTTTCAAAGAAATGCAAACCCAGATACCTGAAGAGCTGTCACTGCCCAGCAGCATCACTAAGGGGTCCCAGGGGTGCCGTGGAGGGGGCAGCTTTTCCATTTAGCTTTGCTTATGTCCTCTAGCATGAGTCCTGTGTCCCTCAGCCATCTGTTGCCTGCCTGTCAAGAGACTGTGACTGTTACTGCCTCTGCAGTAGAGGCGGAGAGGAGAGCAGGAAACACAGCGCCTCACCTTCCTCCCTGGAGGTCCTGTTTATTTGTTATCGTCCCCAGAGTGAGCGCTGAGCCTTCTCCCAGTCCTGGGCCAGCCCAGCGGTCCTGCCTCATGCCCCTCACTAATGGCGGGGAGGGTGTGCTTTGCATAATTATCCATCTGAATCCCACATAATGTGCCAGAATCCTAGAGGAAGACACAGCAAAAGACTGGTTTTATGAATTTCTCCATTCCTGGGAGAACAGATATGAAAATGGTCCAGATCTGGTCCATCAGAATGAGCAGGGTGGGAAGAAATCGGGGCTCTGGATCCTGGAGCCGACCCCAGAGCTACATGGCAAAGGCTGAGTCGGAGTGGGGAGGAAATCAAAGACGGACCCAAGCCCAGAGCGGCCGCCCCCACGGGCCGCGAGGCCTTCGCCTGTCCGCTGGGTGGGGACCCAGGACTGGACACTGCTTTCTGTGTGCTGCAGCCCTGAAGGAGACTAACAGACAGGACCTGTGGATTAGCTCCAGGTGAGCACAGGAGCAAAGGGCACCTTAGCTTCCAGACTAACAGTCACACCTGTCAGGGGAACACTGCGGAGAAGCTGCAGGAGATTAGGCCAAGTAGGAACATAGCTTAAAACGCAAAGAAAACAGAGCAGGATGCAGGAAGGGGAAATGTCCCTCCTCTCCTGCACCCTTGCTAAAGCCTCTCCCCGCTCCCAGTGGCCTGCAAAAGGAGCTGGGGAAGGAGCTGCCTCAGACCCACAGAACCAAGGTCCTTCCCAAAGCGGGAGGACACTGAACCTGCCAGGGTCAGACCAGGCACAGAGGGAGGCAGGCGCTTCCGGGAGAGAGGGAAACCATGCAGCATTGAAGGAAGGCAGGAGGCGGTCAAGGGCAGGGAGGAGAGGAAGTCTGCGCCACCCATCCACCATCAGGATGACCAGTGCAGGGCTGGGCAGTGAGGATCGGAGCACAGGGCAAGAGCACAATGCCCGCTCTGTGGTTTCTGTCATCCCTGGAATTCCAGAGTCATAAACGATGCAAACTCTTTTTCATCTTTTATTTTTTGGGGGATTGGGTTTGAACTCAGTGGCCTTCATATTGAGTTACATCCCCAGCCCCTTTTTATATTTAATTTTGAAACAGCATCTTCCTAAATCACTAAGTTGCCCAGGCTGCACTGGATCTTGAAATCCTCCTGCCTCAGCCTCCCAGTGTGCTGAAATTAGAGGCAAGTGCCACTGTGCCCCATCAGGTGACAACTCTTGATCTCCCACAGGTTTGCTCTCTTGGCCGAGATAGAAAGGAGTCCAGATCCATGCACTGTGCCCGTCCTGGCTCAGGCCTGCACTCCCACACAGCCATGTTATTCCTGCCTCAGCAGCTTCCAGAGGTGAGTGAGTGTCATGCGGCCACCTCTGGAGAACACTTTAAGAGAGCATCTGTGAAGGGTGCACAGCACATCTGAGCGTGCACAGCTGACATGGACATATTCTTAGGGCCTCACTTCCCCAAGGTGGGGCATAGGAAGCTGGCAGCAATGATGAATTCGGGGAGTCCTGCTCTGGTGGGACATGGGGTGAGCCTGGGCCACTACAGGAAGGCAGTCTAGGGGTACTGTGGTCTCTGGGGAGCTTCTGGCTCTGGATGGGGGCAGCTCATCTCTAGCTGCTGTGTCTCCACTGGGTCGCCCTGCGCATGTTAGCCTGGCTTCCTCTCTAGCTCCCCACAAGGGTCACCTGCTCAGAGAAATCCTGGGCAAGCAGCATCAGCCTCCAGCTGTCTATGTCACCGTCTCCATCACTGAACTAACTTCAACACCATGTGCTGCATCCTTGTCATTGGGCCTTTGACGGAGGAAGTACCCGTAACAGCTAATCCAATGCCGGCCCTCTTGCCATGGCCCAGGGGAGCATGGAGAGGCAGTGCTGTCCTCCGGCCCTGTGCTGTTGTGTTTCCCCGGCTGTGTCACCAGCATGCACTTCAGCCTTGCATCTGACCAAGGGACGGGAATGAGCCCTGCGTTACATGGAGCAAACCAGCCCAGTTAACAGGCCGATCTAGGGGACCTTGAGAGCACATGACATCAGCTGGGGGAGGGAGGCCTGGTGCTGCTGGGCCTCACAGGCTTCTCTAACTTTGAAATGTACCCTTCAGAGCCAAATGGAAACCTTTGCAAGTGCCTGGCAGAGACAAGGCATGACCTGGTTAGTCGAAAGGTAGGTAACTTGAGTGAGACATAATTTCATTCCTTACAATCATTCATTTAAAATGTAAAGCTCAGGGCTGAGGAGGTGGCTCTAGGGTGGAGCACTTGCTTAGCATATGTAAGACCTTGACTTCCAGCCTCAGCACTGCAAAAACAGAAAGAAATAAAGTTAATTCAGTGATTTATATTCTCATCTTGTATCACCACAGTAACTTTCAAGCATTTTTCATCACTTTAGAAAAAAGCACTCTATTGTTTAGCCCTTACCCTAATTTTACATCACTCCCTTCCACACCCCTGCAAGTATCTACTGATCTACTTCCTGTGTGCCTGACCTGGACACTTACAAATGAAGTAATGTCATATGTGGTCTTCTGTGACCACTTTCTGTCATTTAGCATGATGTCTTCAAGATTTAGCCACGGTGTAGCACGTGCCCGTACTGCATCACTTTTTTGGTCAAGTATCCACCTCTGTTGTCTCCAAATTTCCTATCTATACTGTGATCATCCGCTCATCGATCAAGGGGCCTCCAGGCTGCTGTGAAGAATACTGTGATGAACATTCATATGCAGATCTTTGAGGGAGCATGTGTTTGTTCAGGGGATTACGTACCTAAGCGGAATTCCTGGGCTAACCGGTAACTACCCCATGATCAGTCTTGGTGAAAATTCTGGATCGTTTTCCTGAGCAGCCATAACGTTCCACACTCCTGCCAGCAGCATGTGAGGATTCTTTCTTCAAGTCCTTGCTAACCCTTGTTATCTAATTTTTAAAACATTGTGTTCTTCACTATGGGTTGGGCACGAAGTGTTATCTCACTGTGGTTTTGATTTGTGTTTCCCTCATGACTGTGGGTAAGGGCGCCCTTTCATATGTTTTGTGGCCGTAGATTCTCTCATTCTCTGGCTTGCCCTCTTGGTTTCCTGACAAATTTCCAATTTAGATAAAATCTAATTTATCTGTTTTTTTTTTTTTCCTTTGTAGCTTGTGCTCTCAGTGTCATTAAAACACACGTTGCTGGCCTGGGGATATAACTCAGCAGCACAGCACTGGCCTGGCAAGTGTGAGGTCCTAAATTCGATTTTCGGTTCCAAAAAAATAAAATAACATAAAAAAACACATTGCTAAATCCAAGGTCATGAAGATGCACACCTACATTTTCTGAAAGTTTGTAGTTTGGGATCTAATGTTAATGCCTTTGGTAGCCTTTGATTTAATCTTTCTACGTAGTATGACATAAAATGTGAGACACATCCCGTGCACATAGTGATACAGCCATTCGGTTATAGGCAGTCAGACCGAGCTAGATGCTCAGAGAAGTCAGAGCTGAGAGGAAGCACAGCACAACCTCGCCTGGAGAGAGGGACATCCTTCGAAGGAGATGATTATTCCTGCGTGCTTGCCCAAGGCCTGGCCTACGTCAGATGCACCCCAGCACCAGCTGTAACGCCATCTCATCCTCCACCCAACCCTGCCTGCCTGCAGCAGTTCTGCCTAACTTAGCTGTCTGTAACACCTCGAGTTTCCATGTAACTCTTAGAATTAGCATGTCAGTTTATACAAAGACGGGCTTCTGCTAGGAACTATATTGAACCTAAAGCTCAGCTGGGAAGTACAGCTAACCTAACTCTCTAATATAACTCTCCCCATCTGCTCTTGTTTGGATCTCCTTTAGCCCCTGTCAGCACTATTTTGTAGTTTTCAGAGTAAAAATGTCATACTTCCTTTATTAACTTTATTCCCAAATGCTTGATTTTTATTAATGCTATATTAGAAACAAAAGTATTTCCTCAGTGTCACGTTTAGAGTGTTCATTGCCGAGCGTGTAGAAACACAATTGCCGTTTCTATCTGTGCCACACACCCTGCAACCTTGCCAAGCTCATTGCTTATTCCAGTTCCCCAAAGTGGATCTTTCGGAATTTTCCACGTACTATAGAAGGTCACCTCGTCTGAGAAGACAGTTTTACTTCTTCCTCTTCAGTATGAATGCCTCTTATTTCATTGTCACGTCTTTACAAAATTCATGCGTCAGCAAATTCTTCTGATGATATTGTTGAAAATTCCAAATCACAGAGCACGGAGCAGGAGTCCAGGTAAGAAAGGACGGTAGCCGGGCTTCAGGTGGCTGCCAAAGAAAGGCCCCAAGCAGCTCTTCTCTCCGTGTCTTCTGTCTTCCTGGCCATCGTGGTGACTTTTCCTTTAGCCTTGTCCAACCACAAAGCCAGCTTCTGCCAATCCTCTCCTGGTAAAACTCTTAGCAAGCATCTCTGCACAAAGGAAGCAGAAGCCTGTGCATCCTGTCTGTGGGGAACAGGCTGAGAGTGAGGCCCGGCAGAGGAAGGCCTGTCTCTATGACAGGGAGAAGTATCTACTGCCAGGCTCAGACGTGCTGCAAACCTCAGCAGCCAGCTAAAGATAACCCAGGCCAGGAGCCCTGCCCAGGCTGGGGCCCTCAGCGCTCTGTGTGGTGGGCTGACTGAAGCTTCTCGGTGTGCAGCCCAGGCAGAACCCTGGGGTTCTCCTCAGCAGGCCCGGGCGCCTTCACCTACACAGAGAGGAGCTCCTTCCTCTCTGCCTCCTCATCCGTCTCCCACCTCCCTCCCCTGCTGCCAACCCTGGGTCTAATCCCTGTGATGGGGCCTCAGTTTACTCCTGTGAGCAATGGAAGCGGGGAGATAGATCTGTGTTCCTCGGTAACTAGTCCACGAACCCAGAGTCACCCTTAATTTTCAGATTCACAAAACCTTTCCCAAATGCCCACATTCTCAAACCCATACGCCAATAGCCACACTATGAGACCTTCACATGATATAAAATGACAGAATGTGCCCGGCCCTCCACACCCCACCCCACCGCGGAGAAACTACGGGGTCCTGAGCACAGCCTCAGGGGTGCCTGGCTGCCGCTGCCACTCTGCCCCCTGCCCCTGCAGAAGTGACTGGGCCATGGTGGAACCCAGGTCACACTGCCCCAGGCAGATTACACCTCCCACGGTCGGGTGTTGCAAAGACGCCACAGGGACTCCGTGGAGATTCAGTGGTCAGCTCAGACAGACTAGAGACTGGTGGCCATGCGGGCCAGGTGGAGGGACAGGATGCTAGTCAGAGGGGGAAGACACGCAGAGCGGCAGCAGGGAGAAGGCAGACAGTAAGTCCTGCAGTTCCCGAAACATGAGAAACTCTGGTCATGAGCCAGGTGGGCCTTCCTGGCTTCCGTTTCCCGGCCTGGTTCCAGCGTGAGGCCTGGGCTGTCCTTGGGTCCTGAGCTGTGACCTTACACACACCACAACCAAAGAAGCTTGGGCCAAGGCAAAGAGGGAGGACAGTGTTCAATAATACAACTGACCTCTGTCCTGGAGGGGGCTGAGAGACTCCTGCCTAACTCTGGAAAGAAAAAGATCCCAGAAGAATTAAAGCAATGTTCAGAAGCCACTTGTATATGTTTTTGTCTTAAATTGTGGGCTAAAAACTCAATGAACAGGTGCAAAAAATAAATCCTCTTTTGCAACCCAGAACTCAATGTTCAGTATGAGTTTTGATACACAAAAGAAGGAACATTACTGCTCAGCACAGTGGTACAAGTCTATGACCCCGGAACTCCAAGGCTAGGTCAAGAGGAATTAAGGCTGGACCTTATAGTGAGCTTCTACCTCAGAAAACAAAGCAAAAACAAAGAATTATATTAACCTAATACAAATTAAAGAGATGGTGTTAATGGGTAAGTTTTATTGTAAGACTAAAGTTAATAGAAAGCAGAGGATATGGGCAAACTACATATTTGATATTGCAGTGTTTATGTTGTAGCACACTAAAATACTTATCTTTTCTTAAAGGCTTCTGTTTGAACATGGGGCTGGAGTTGAAGATGTATCTTACTGTGTTGGATCATGTTTATTTAAATGTGGGACAGAGTAAAATTTCCATAGGCTTCAATAAATGAAAAAAAAATTTTTTTGAAATAAAGCAAGCGGGCTGGGGTTTTAGCTCAGTGGTGCAAGCACTTGCCTCGCAAGCACAAGGTCATGAGTTCTATCCCTGGTACCAAAAAAATAAAAAATTTAAAAAAAAAAAGCAATGTTCAGGAAAGAGCATTAAAAGAATACATATTCTTACCTTGCCCCACTCCCTGACACGTTAGTCTTCTCTTTCCTGTTTCTCTCCTCATTCCCCCCACCACCCTTCTGCTGGGGGTGGTCGGGGCTATGAAGGAAGTAGCAGAGGGTCAGGGAACCAGGGAGGTGCCACGTGCGGTGCAGAACACGGAAAGGTTGGCTGCACAAGCAGAGAAGCTGATGACACACGGGCTGCCCAGGAACAGGTGCAAATAACCCTGAGAAACTGGATCAGAAGTGGGGGCTCAGGCACAGACATAAAGTATGTGCATAGACAGGCAAACATAACTGCATGTAGGTACACACATATTTGCATACATGCACACATGTCCTGCCATCCAGGAGTGGGAGACATGGCTTGGAGGTTTGCAGAATTTTCCAGGATTTCTGCCTTCAGGGAGAAGCAAGCTCTCTGTTTGCTGAAAAGGACCAGAATCAGCAATGACACAGAAACTGCTGGCAACCAAGACTCTAGTTTCCAAATAGTATCCTCCCCTGTGGAAGGCCTTGGGGAGAGAGTGAATTTCAAGGCTGCAGCAAGGAATTCACAAGATGAACCTAGAGCATCATCTTGTGCCAGAAGGTAAAGAATTTGTCCAAAGAATGCTGAGGACCAGCCTAAAGGAAACGAGCCAGTTTGGAGGGTGATCCTGATGATCAAGTCCAGAATGATTCAATAGCAAAATAAGTACAATAATAGATTTAACCCAGCAAACAAAATAGGACAAAATTCTAGTTAGTTACAAATAGGAAATTGACAGACACCCAATGGGGCACTGATGAACATTAATGGCACCAGTGGGGACACAGGTGCCAGGAGACAACACCTGTGCTGCGCTCCTCTGAGCCCTGTCCTGAGCAACATCCCAGAACCTGCAGGGCAAGAGGCCTGCACCCTGAAGTCATTCGGGTCAGAAGACAAGAGAGACCTTGGCACTGCTCCCTGCTGAGGGAGACTAGACAGACTTGGCGATTAAGAGCAAAGTGAGAGTCCGGGCCAGACAGAAGAGAAACTGCTGGGACGGAGAATCTCAATGTAGATGGGGTGCTGCTTCCTGGTGTGTCTTGATTTGCAGGCCTGTGCACCAGCTACTCAGCAGGCTGCCTTTCTGTGGGCAATATGCCTGCTGGAGGCTCTGGGCATCGTGCTGTGAATGTGTGTTTACAGATTTTAGACTTTATATGATATAAATTAGTTCCCTCAAGAAATAGATTCTGTGACTTTGTCCTTCACTGTCAGCTTTCTTCACCTGAACAAACGCTGATTTCCTGGAATTTCTTTCTTTTTTTTTTTTTGGCTTTTTCCTTTTTATCGGTACCAGGGATCGAACTCACGAATGCCTGCTTGCAAGGCAGGTGCTTATGCCACTGAGCTAAATCCCCAGCCCCTGGAATTTCTTTCTTGCAACTCTGAATATCCTCTGTTCCCGGGCTACAGATAGAATGTATTCCTTGTTCCCCATTGGCCCCTAGAAGCTGCCCACTGAACACTGCACAGACACGGTGCCTTGGTATCATGATGCCTTGGCCTTTGAATGCCACATCTTCATTCACAAGCCTGCAGATCCCACTGAGAGCAGTGGTTTTCTTTCTGAGTGAGTTAAAGAGCCAGTGAATGGTTTTGAGCAAAGAAGACATGATAAAGTTTGTTTTTTGAAAGATTTAGTTTAGTTCCCTTGAGACTATATATTAGGGGCAATGAAAAAGCAGAGTCCGGCTGGAAGACTGAAGTCACCCCGGTTTGCCCAGGCCTCAGACCCCTGGGGCGGCACAGCAGCACGAAAACTGGGAAAGCACCAGGTGGACGGAGATGGGCTGCTTACCCAGATTAGGAGACTTTCAGAAAAGGGTGCCGGTCACAGCCCAGACTGGGTGGGGAGGCCACACTCTGGGTGTGTAATGAATAGGTTCTGAGATACACGATGCATGGGATGAATAGTGCAAGCAGAAAAGATGCCTGTGTTTGTAGATTGATATTAGGAGACCTGGGGGCGGGGGCTATGGGAGCGGTAATTTTGGAAGAGAATATAGGCAGATGGGAGCCCAGCATTGGACTTGCTAAGCACTAGGTGTCTCTTACAAATACAAGGCGGCGTTAAGTAGGTAATTCAATGCACAAGTCTTAAGATCAGAGGGGAGTTGTCAGGACTCCTGTAGTACACAGAGGGTCCCTACAAAGAAATTCAGGAAGTGTAGGGAAGGAAGACAGGAGACCCCCAGAGACCCCAGTATTAGGCAGGCAGGCACCTGAGGGACAGAGAGGAAGAGCTGCCGGGTGCTTGGGCACAAGGAGCTGGGGGCGAGCAGGGCAGCATTTCAGGCAGGAGCGATTCTCTGGCCCAGCGGGCAAGGCCTGAGCAGTCTTTGGATTCAGTTCTGAGAGCCGATGTTGACCATAATGGCTAGAGGGAAACATTTGTGTCCGGTGAAGCCTGTGTCCTTAGAAAGGGGAGATGGGATGGGATCTGAGACGCAGGAAAGGAGCTGCCCCTAAAAGCCCGTCCTAACTCTCCGGGAAGTGGGAATTGAGGTGCTGGGAGGTGTCCCTGAAGGTCTGGGGACAGAGGTAACGGAGTTGTTGTTAGGGGAGGGGGGTGCAGGGGGAGAACAGCAGGCTCGCTGCTGCTGAGGTTTGAATGGTGGGACACTGTGGGAGACACCAGTCAGCACTATCACACTTTCGGTTCCCTGAATTCTTCCTGAGGGTTTATTTTGTCTGCGCCTTCTTCTTGGTCTTTCTCAATTTTGCTGTTGACTTGGCAGAAATGTGTGGGGGTTGACCCCACACTACACGAAGGGCAAGTGTGGTCAGTGCCGGGGCTGACTGCAGATGGAGGAGCCCAGGAGGAAAGTTATCCCCTTTTCAGCTAAGCCTGGCCCTAGCTCCATGTACTGATACGTACAGAGCTGGCAGGGACATTCCTTTGTCCCTTCAGTAGGCTGTCGGCAATGTAAATGGGGCTGGCTGAGGAGAAGCAAGGTGAGAGGTCAGGGTTGCCCCACTCTGTGACTCCCAGAAAAATGTGGGTGAGCCTGGCGGGTTGGAGAGCCGTGACCCATGCTGTCAAATGGGACCGAGCCTCGAGAAAGAGGCTATGATTTCCCAGGGCGGACAAGATTGTGCATCAGAGCTGAAGCACCAACCCCAAAACATTAGCTACTACCTCAGCTGTGTTACGCAGATTGCTTGCTCTGCATTTCTTGTCCCCTGTGTACCCCAGAGGTGACCTCAGATCTCCTGCCCAGCCCAGCTCACAGCAGTCATGTATTCCCACCACTCTCCGGGTCACTCATCCCCAAGTCAATTCCCTCATGAATTAATGAAACCCAGGTTGGGGCTTGGGATGAGACATTTGGCTGGACTTAGGACACCCTGGGCTAACCGTAACTATACACCTTTATTCTTGCCGTGGGTTATACTGCAAGGGTGGGTTGAAATTAACTCACTAGAATCCCAATAACTTTTCCGTGGGATTACAAATATAAACCTTCTGGACCAAGACAAGATCTGGGAAAGGGGTCTCTATAGGCAAGCAGAAACACAAAACAACACCCAGGATGCTGAGGCAGATTTATTTACACCAATGGGCTCTGATTGGGATCATCCCCAGACTATGAGGCCCTGACATCGGTGGTCAGGGCTCACGTGGGACAAGCAAGTTGGAAGAACAAGGCAGAACGGCTTGTCCACTGGGGTTGGCTCAGACACCTGCACTCAGTGGCCAGCTGATTCTAAGAGACGGGAGCAAGGAGAACTGGACCAGAAGCTAACACCGGGCAACAAGACATGAGGTGTGCTGGCGGGGCAGGACACTTTCGGTGACAGAATAAATAAAATACCTTTCGTAGTAGTTACGATGTAGTCCAGCAGAGTAAGACAAGAAACAAAGAATAACAGGACGGGGGCGGGGGTGCCACCTCGGGAGGCAGTGGAGCTGGGCGTGCCTGGCAAACGAGCAGTTTTAATCACCCTTAATTTTGCATTTTACCTTCTGCCTCCGTCATTTGCCCCACCAGCTCTGTTTAAGCAACTCTTTACTCGGATCATCCAAACCCTCAACCCCGTGACTCTCCACACTCACTGTCTTCTCCCACATGGCTAGAAATGGAGGGAAACTATGTGTGCTTAGCTCCTTTCTAAATTTTAACATCAAACCTGCTTTTTCATGTTATCAGAAGTATCTAAAGGGCTGGGGATATAGCTCAGCAGTACAGCCCTTGTCTGGAGAGCGTAAGGTTGTGAGTTTGATCCCTGCTACCAAGAAAAAGGAAAAAAATAGTATCTAAAGCCACACATCTGCACTATCACCAAAGCCCTAGATTTTTTTTTTTTTTTGTCTTTTTCTTTTTTATTGGTACCAGGGATCGAACTCAAGACCACACACTTGCAAGGCAGGCGCTTATGCGGCTGAGCTAAATCCCCAGCCCCCAAAGCCCTAGATTTAAT